GCCTTCCCTGGCGCGCTGCACCTCGGCATGGCAGCGCTCGCCGACCTGCGCCGTGCGGCACGGGCAGGGCCGCCCGCAGGCGCCGGGGTGCGCGGCCCGCGCGCTGACGAGCTCCTCGGGGCAGGGCGGGGCGCGCAAGGGCCGATGATCCTGAGAACGTGTGCCAGCGCGACGTCTGAGCGCTTTCCCCGCCCTCTCCCCCCGCGCGGCCGCTCTCGTGCTTCTCCCCCCCTCTTGCACGCCGGCCAAGTAGCCTTCCGGTTGCCCCGAATCGCCACACGCTGGAGCGGACTGCCTCTGCCTCGCCGCCGAGACGGAAAAGAGTGCGTCAGCGCCGACGTGTGCTCGTCCACCGAGGCCCTGCAGCACGAAGCGGGCCGTGCGGCGAGGGCCGACCCGGGCCGCGTGCTGCTGGCAGAGCTGCACGGGGCAACCACACATTCAGCCAAAAACGTTCGGGGTCGGCTAAGAGGGGGGCGTCCAAGAGGGGGGGGCGCAAATCATGGCCAGCGGCATGTGCGCGGCCCAGCGGTGGGCCAGGGAACGTATTGAAATAAGAAGAGGGGCAATGACATCTGGGGAGATCTCATGGCCCCCGCCATGATATCCCCCCCCCACAGTCGGACTTGAATGGAGAGGACACGCGAGAGGACACAAGACCCTTCCGAGGGCCACCTTGCCATAGGAATGCAGAAGGCAGTGGTCGCGAAAATCAGGACGCAAGGGTACCCTCGATCTGGCAGGGTCGACCCACTAATCAGAGCCGACTGTAGCCCTTACCCCCCTCTTTGCCGCCCCCGAAGCACACGTCCTGAGGATCATCGAAGGGGCGGGCCGGGGGGAGGACGAGGGCAGCGGGGAGGGTCGGAGGCCGTGACTCGGCGCCCTCGGCCCGAGAAGGGGAGAGGAGGGCGCGCAGCGGACTGATGTGCGCGGCCGCTCTGGCAAGAGCAGTCTCTCTCTCCTCTCTCTCTCTCTCTCTCTCGCTGCTTCCTCGCCCTCGTTCCCCTCCTCGTTTTGGGCGCGCGCACCTTACCTTCGGCTACGGCCACGCGCCCGGGGGGGGACCGAGAGGGGGGGCGGGCCTTACTAGAAGGCGCGGAAGCCCTCTCGCCTTCTGAGAGGTTGTCCAGGCCTTCCCCTGTAACGCAAGATCATTGCCACCTGGACCCTGCCATCCAAACTCTGGCATTCAAGCCGATTGCAAGAGTGGGGCTCAGCTTGTCTGAACCGCCTTTGAACATAAGATCTGCCTTTCTGCTGGAGACGGACATAGCTGCACTTCTGGGGGTTGCGGCAGGAGGATGAGGAACCTTCTGGTCAGCTCGTGAGAGGAGGAAGAGTAGGAGGAGGAGGAGGCCGACGACGACGAATACTGTAATAACGCGAATGAGGAGGAGGTGGAGCGTAGCCGAACGCGAATGAGGAGGAGGAGGAGGAGGAGGAGGAGAGGAATTGGGAGGGATGATAACAAGTAAAGAAGGACGTAAGGATCTATTCAGATTCTCAAGGCTAGAGAAAATCATATTCGTAAGATGCCCAGACCACTCAAATCCGCCGGCCCCCTTGCGGGGCCATCAGGCTGCGAGGGTTAAGCTTGCTGCTCCGTGCGCCAGTTCCAGCTTCCAGTTTCCATTATTACAGTATTGCTTTCTGCTTCCTACTGTGAATTGTTACTGTCTGCGCGAGGGGGAGGGGCCGAAAACTACCCTGGTTAGCGTCCCCCGGGAGGGTTCTCAGAATTCCTGGAGGGGGAATTAACACCCCTCATGCAGATCGGCGGGGTCAGGGTCCAAAAACACTAGGGATATGCCACATGTCTGAAATTCGGTGGCACCCCTCACGCAGATCGGCGGGGTCAGGGTCCAAAAACACCGGGGATTTGCCACATGTCTGAAATTCGGTGGCACCCCTCACGCAGATCGGCGGGGTCAGGGTCCAAAAACGCAGGGGATTTGCCACATTTCTGAAATTCGGTGGCACCCCTCACGCAGATCGGCGGGGTCAGGGTCCAACAACACAAAGGATTTGCCGCATGTCTAAAATCTGGTGGCACCCCTCATGCAGATCGGCGGGGTCAGGGTCCAAAAACACAGGGGATTTGCCGCATGTTGTAAATTCGGTGGCACCCCTCACGCAGATCGGCGGGGTCAGGGTCCAAAAACATATTGGATTTGCAACATTTCTGAAATTTCCTGTCACCCCTGACGCAGATCGGTGGGGTCAGGGTCCAAAAACACTGAGGATTTGCCACATTTCTGAAATTCGGTGGCACCCCTCACGCAGATCGGCGGGGTCAGGGTCCAAAAACACATTGGATTTTTCAAATTTTTCCCCCAAACAGCTTGCTGAAGAAGCTAACTCTGGCCGAGGGAAGGCGGAGCAGAGACATCCTCACAAAAATTTGATGGTCCGGGCCGTTTCTCTTCAGACATCCTCACAACTCTCGTTTCTGAGTTGGCCGGGAGTGGCCGTTTCGCCTGAGACATCTTCGAAAAGTTGCGCTCCGGGACGCCGCGCGAGAGGTGGTCTGGGCCGTTTCGCTTGAGACATCCTCGAAACTCTGAGCCCCGAGGTGCCGTGCGAGAGGTGGTCCGGGCCGTTTCGCCTGAGACATCCTCGAAACTCTGAGCTCTGAGATGCCCTGCGCGAGGTGGTCCGGCCCGTTTCGCCTGAGACATCCTCGAAACTCTGACCTCGGAGATGCCGCGCGAGAGGTGGTCCGGCCCGTTTCGCCTGAGACATCCTCGAACTTCTGAGCTCTGAGATGCCTGCGCGAGGTGGTCCGGCCCGTCTCGCCTGAGACATCCTCGCAACTCTGAGCTCTGAGATGCCGTGCGCAAGGTGGTCCGGCCTGTTTCGCACAAGACATTCTCGCAACTCTGAGCTCCCAGATGCCGCGCAAGAGGTGGTCCAGCCTGGGGGCCCAGAAGACCACATGTTACATATCCTCCCTGGGACCCTGGGAGCCCGCCTGAGACATCCTCGAACTTCTGAGCTCTGAGATGCCCTGCGCGAGGTGGTCCGGCCCGTCTCGCCTGAGACATCCTTGCAACTCTGAGCTCTGAGATACCGTGCGCAAGGTGGTCCGGCCTGTTTCGCGCAAGACATTCTCGCAACTCTGAGCTCCCAGATGCCGCGCAAGAGGTGGTCCAGCCTGGGGGCCCAGAAGACCACAAGTTACATATCCCCCCTGGGACCCTGGGAGCCCCAGGAGGCCCCAGAGAGCTCCAGGAGGCCGCAGGACGCCCAGGACAGGCCCCAGGGGTCCGCAGGAGATTCCCAGGAGGTTCCCAGGAGGCCCCAGAAGGCCCCCTATCAGAACGTGTCATCAAGTTAATAAACATCCGGTGTCGATTCGTTGATTTTTCCTGCTCTTGTGGCCCTCCCCATTTGGGGGGCCCCGACGGCCACATGTTAGATACCCCCCCCTGGGAGCCCCAAGAGGCTTCAGGAACCCCCAGGTGGGGTCCAGGAGGCCACAGGAGGCCCAGGACGAAGCCCCAGGAGGTCCCCAGGAGGCCCCAGGAGGCCCCCACAACTCGGAGCTCTGAGACGCCGCGCTCGAGGTGGTCCGGGCCGTTTCGCCTGAGACTTCCTCGCCGCACGTGGTCCAGCCCGTTTCGCCTGAGACATCCTCGCAACTCTGGGCTCCGAGAAGCCCTGCGCGAGGTGGTCCCGCCCATCTCGCCTGAGACATCCTTGCAACTCTGAGCTCTGAGATACCGTGCGCAAGGTGGTCCGGCCTGTTTCGCAGAAGACATTCTCGCAACTCTGAGCTCCCAGATGCTGCGCAAGAGGTGGTCCAACCTGCCCAGAGGACCACATGTTGCATATCCCCCCTGGGACCCTGGGAGCCCCAGGAGGCCCGCCCCAGAGAGCTTCAGGAGGCCGCAGGACGCCCAGGACAGGCCCCAGGGGTCCACAGGAGATTTCCAGGAGGCTCCCAGGAGGCCCCCTATCATAACGTGTCGAGTTAATACACATCCGGTGTCGATTCGTTGATTTTTCCTGCTATTTTGGGGGGGCCCGACGGCCACATGTTAGATATTCCCCCCTGGGAGCCCCAAGAGGCTTCAGGAAGCCCCAGGTGGGGTCCAGGAGGCCACAGGAGGCCCAGGAGGAAGCCCCAGGAGGTCACCAGGAGGTCCCAGGAGGCCCCAGGAGGCCCCCGCAACGCGGAGCTCTGAGACGCCGCGCTCGAGGTGGTCCAGCCCGTTTCGCCTGAGACTTCCTCGCAGCACGTTTCGCCCGAGACATCGTCGCAACTCTGGGGTCCGAAATGCCGCGCGCGAGGTGGTCCAGCCCGTCACGCTGGAAACGTCCTCGCAACTCTGGGCTCCGAGATGCCCTGCGCGAGGTGGTCCGGCCCATCTCGCCTGAGACATCCTCGCAACTCTGAGCTCTGAGATGCCGTGCGCAAGGTGGTCCAGCCCGTTTCCATTCTCACAACTCTGGGCTCTCAGATGCTGCGCAAGAGGTGGTCCAGCCTGGGGGCCCAGAAGACCACATGTTACATATCCCCCCCGGGAGCCCAGGAGGCCCCAGAGAGCTTCAGGAGGCCGCAGGACGCCCAGGACAGGCCCCAGGGGTCCGCAGGAGATTCCCAGGAGGCTCCCAGGAGGCCCCCAAAGGCCCCCTATCAGAACGTGTCAAGTTAATAAACATCCGGTGTCGATTCGTTGGTTTTTCCTGCTCTTGTGCCCCCCCCCCCCCCCATTTTGGGGGGGCCCGACGGCCACATGTTAGATATCCCCCCCTGGGAGCCCCAAGAGGCTTCAGGAAGCCCCAGGTGGGGTCCAGGAGGCCACAGGAGGCCCAGGAGGAAGCCCCAGGAGTTCACCAGGAGGTCCCAGGAGGCCCAGGAGGCCCCCGCAACTCGGAGCTCTGAGACGCCGCGCTCGAGGTGGTCCAGCCCGTTTCGCCTGAGACTTCCTCGCAATACGTTTCGCCCGAGACATCGTCGCAACTCTGGGGTCCGAAATGCCGCGCGCGAGGTG